ATTATTAATTCTGTTAGTGAAAATATTTTTAAAAAAACTTTAATAAATAACATTCAATTTTTTGTTTTTTTAGTATAATATTGTATTACATACAGTTAATAGATAATATGTACAGAATATATACAAAAATAAACAAAAACTAAACTTAATATGTACAGAAACTATTTTAGCATTTGTTCGAACTGGTTTATGATAGGTACATAAGATGTCAAACAACATCTTTATAAGGCATCTATTGTGTTTATTAAAATGTTTAGATAACAAAGGATTCCATAAGTCATACGTTCATCTAATACTTGTGCGCTAAAATAAATTTTCATTTTTATAATTTAAAGTTGTAACGCGTCAATTTTAACTATTTCTAGTTCAGTATTTTTAATTATTAAAAGCTGTATTTATTTATTAACTCTTTATTATATTACCACCTTAATCCTATACTGTATATATTTCATAGTATTGACTATTCTTACTTATTTTAATGTGTTCATATGAACAGTAAAAGTATGTTTCTTATTTAATATAGGTATATTAATGGTATATAGGTATAGTATATTTATAAATGGTTGTTTTTCTCGTTGTACGAGGTATAAGCAAAAATTTAGAGTGACAATGATAAAGTACAATTTTTTTTGTTTTTGTACAGCTTTTTTAACAGTCATAAGCTTAAAATTCAATAATAATACTACTAACAAACATTTAAATACTATATTATGTTATGTTTATTATGATAATAGTAAAATAAAAAAACAAGTAACAAGATAAATAATATGCTTTTAAGATACGAATAAACATTTTTATTTGCTAAATCATATTAAAAAATTAAGACTAAATAAAATTAACATACCTATAATTAACTTGTAAATAATAGAGGTACAACATATTGCTGTGTATAGTGATGTATTTATAGGAAGTTACCTAGGGCGGTAAAGTTTGTTTGATGATTTCCCACTAGAAGAAATCCATCTCCATTTACATATTTAAGTTAAAAAATATTTATAAGTATATTCATTCAATTTACTTTTTTACACTTAATCCAATAGTTAACACTTTTTTTTTTCTATTTTGTGTTTTATAATTTTATTTACTTTATTACTTATAAAAACTTAATCGTAAACCACTAGAAAATTGTCAATAAATTCTGTAATAGCTAATGTCAAAACTATGCCATCATGAAAATAATTTCAAGATTTGGATTAAGACAATAACATATTTCAGAAATGTTAACATTCTCAGCGGCATTTTAGATTTAATTAATATTAAATAAAGAATTCATCATTAATAATTAATAAATAATGTATTATAATTATAGATATGTTAAGTATACGTGTGTTTAAATACTTAGAGTTTAAAAACTTTATGTCACTTTTAACATGATAAAGTACTTTTAAATTATTTTATTGAATTACATTTTTAGCTGAATAACTAAATATATATAGTTGTCTAATATTTGATTTGAACTTGTGAATCCATCTTATTCTTTTTACTGACCTAATGGAAAACCGTTATCTGCAATAGTGTGCCACAGTATCTAAAAAAATAATAATAATAATAATAAATTGTTAGTGATGAATTCATAGAAATTAACTAAATTATTGCAAACTGATGATCTTATATATTTTACCTTAAAATAAAACACCTATAAATTTACTGAAAATTGAATGCCACAACATTCGACAATGTATTGATGGAATTGGTTTAGACTGTTTGACTACAATAATATAATACACCAAATTTGACGTTGGTAGTAGTGTAGCTGTAGACAATAACAAATATCAATGTAAGTTGAGATAGTCCATATTAATATTGAACATACTGAAACATTTAATTAAAAAAATTAAATAAGTTTCTTAGATACTTAAATAATTATATGGTTAAGCAACAAATATCAGTATACACATATATTTTTTATAATTATACAAGTATGATAATTTTTAAGTTATACGTTAATTTTTAAGTAACGCATTTTAATAAAACATATTAAGTATGATAAACATAAGTAATCCAAAAAAACTGATTATGTAAAAACATTTTATAAGTTCATGAATAATAAAAAAACGATTAATTATATTTTTCTAATAAAAAAATGTACTTTTACAATACACCTATATCAATAAATACATTATCTTACCTATTATTGATTCAGTAAACGATGATTGAAGATTCAATTGAAGAGCAGTCAAGTGTCACCATAATATGTTAGCATCTCCAAGTTATTTAATTAATTTTTTACACTCCCTTTAATTTTAAAACTGTGTAGCTCGTTAACTACTCAATCGATTTACCTAGTTTTTACGCCTAAAATTAAATTTAAAAAAAATAAACAGGATCATCAAAAAAAAATTGGGGGTTACCATTTAAAAATCCAAAGTTGATATGGTTTTAACGCATAAGGGATGGTGTTAAAATTTTGAAATATATATAAAATTTGTCCCAACTAATTACTATAAAAGTATAAAAAAAAAAAAATTAAAAAAGTCTAATATCTTCTAAGATATTGAGTGGTCCATAGTTAACCAATCACCCGGTACTACATTTTACGGGTTGCGTGTAAACAAGTGTACGCATTTGAGTATGTTTTATAATGCTATTATATCAATCAAACGGTCAAAGGATAAAAAATAAACCAACACTTTTTTTTTGTAAAAGGTATATACTCCATTTATTGTGATACAGGTAAACAATTTTTTTTAAAGTAAACTATTGAAAATGGTTTTAGATACTTAACAGGCGAGTCATATAACAGATATTCTAAAAAAAAATATTTCATCAATCGAATAAAAAAACAAACACACCAATACACATCCGTCCAATGGTCTGGCATGAGTATGTTGATCGAGTATGTTACACAATCACTGCTGACCGAAATGACCGTAATAACCTTCAGCCGAACGTCGTCTGCGGTGTTTTTAAAAAAAATGTTTTTTTTTTTTCAATCGGATCCTAGATCTTACAACTCACTGAGTGAGTAAATATATACTTATAAACATATATTATAATAAACCATATATACAAAAAAAATTAAGTATATTATAAATCGAGAAATACCGGAAAAAATCTCGGGTCACCCAGGGCCGACAAGGCGCCGTAACCGACTGTCGAGGTGCGGTGACCCGGGTCACGAACTCCTGACGCCGCGTCACCGGCGGCCGACACCGGGTCACACCGGCGTGACACTCAGACGTGCTCAAACCATCTAGGTTAAAAGGCAAGCTGAGTCATTTGTGAATCTTTTAAGCCACAGTAGAGCCATATTGGTTGGGTATTTTTGGAAAAAAATTCAGTTTTTTGAAAATTTTGAGCTAGGTCGAAATTTTGGTTTTTTTAAATTTTCGACCATTTAAATCACACAAATCGGCAATTTGACCATGTATTCTGATTGCTGACAAAATTCTCTTGAGTTTGGTCTAGGTTTGAGCGAATTTGGTGCAGAAATGTAGAATTTATGTAGGCTTTAGTGTGTTTTTGTGTTGTTCATACCTTGGGTAAACCTAGGTTTTTCTTCCTATAGAAAAATATATGTACAATCAACACATATGTATAAGTTAAAAGGCAAGCTGAGTCATTTGTGAATCTTTTAAGCCACAGTAGAGCCATATTGGTTGGGTATTTTTGGAAAAAAATTCAGTTTTTTGAAAATTTTGAGCTAGGTCGTAATTTTGGTTTTTTCAAATTTTCGACCATTTAAATCACACAAATCGGCAATTTGACCATGTATTCTGATTGCTGACAAAATTCTCTTGAGTTTGGTCTAGGTTTGAGCGAATTTGGTGCAGAAATGTAGAATTTATGTAGGTTTTAGTGTGTTTTTGTGTTGTTCATACCTTGGGTAAACCTAGGTTTTTCTTCCTATAGAAAAATATATGTACAATCAACACATATGTTGTAATTCTAATTTTACCATAATAATATTAGCATTTTCGTTTAATAAAATGAGAAATAATCGTTTCCGACTTTAATATTAAAATATAATATGTGATACCTATGTGAAAACCGTGATGTTGATAATACGTTTTTATTCGACAAACTGTCAATGTTACACGCCCCGCGGCAATTACTGCAGACGATAACTTTTGAAAATGAGCCTACACATAAAGTATATGTTTATCGGGTAAAAAACGGGTTTTGGAAATTTATTTCAAGACGAAATAAACCAAAACGTTGTCATAAGACTTTAAAATAATAATATCGATATTAATCTTCTGGAACGTAATCGGTTTTGTAAACGGGCTACTCGTTGTTCGTACGTCGTGCTGCCTCGTACACTTTGGACGAAACCTTCATCACGGACACGGACCCCCGCCGATCGCGGGCGAGTCTAGATATTTTACAATACTACTGTTGAGCAGACGTAATAAATCGGTCTTGGACTTTCGAAAATATATAAAATAAATTTAAACAGACGTAAAGACGTCTTAATCGCGACGGTTTACTCGTTCGAAGCGGTTAACGATTTAATTAAAATAGAGTCGAACGTTCGGCAGTCTTATTTTTAATAGAAATCGGGGCGGCTTTAATAGCCGGACGCGTAATATATTTTTATAACGACAATTCAAATTGTTTTTACTATTTTCGGTGTAATCTCAAGTCGATTCGGTCGGCGTTGCCGTCGTCAAAATATCGCGTAGAGTTTTGACGATAACTACGCGACGCGTAAAACTACCGACGACCCGAATTCGACACCGCCCCCTCCGGTCTCTTCGTATCTCGGACTCTTAGACCCCACGCGATAATTTTTCAATACACGTGCGGATTGCGAATCGAAAAGATTTTTTAGTTTACCTCGCAATCAACGAGTTCTAATCGACCTCGAAAGAGGTGTTGAATAGTCGGACCGGTCGGAACAACCTCCTACGGCACGGCGGCCGTCGATTTAAAGTGAAAATTCGACCGGCCGACGGCTTCGCTATACCGTCGGCTTTGAGGAGAACGAGATTTGTCGCCGTCACGTGATTTTCGAGTGGAAAAAACGAGATTAAACGGAACGGGATCACGTCAAAACGGAAAATTCGATTCCGTAAACGTTTACTAGTCGGTACGGCGACGAGTATACATGGACGGCGCGACGGCCGAACGCGAACTATACACACCGTTGTTGTTCGTTTTACCCGAGTACCGGAGTCTATTTCAACCTGCTTCACCATGACCGACACCGCAGTCGCCGCACCAGCACCGGCCGCCTCGTCGCCGAAAAAGAAGTCCGCCTCTCCAAAGGCGAAGAAAGCCGCGTCGGCCCATCCTACCACAGCCGTGATGGTGATCGCGGCCGTCGAGGAGCTGAAGGAGAAAAAAGGGTCGTCGTTGCCGGCCATCAAGAAATACTTGGCCGCCAACTACAAAGTGGACGCCGCCAAGCTTGCGCCTTTCAGGACCACCAAATTATTATAATATATACAATAATTGCCCGGTAGGTAGGGTAGTCTCATACCGAATTATAGATTATAGTAGTTTCCCCGTGTAATACAAGCCAGGCAGTAAGTAATAGTGATTGTGGAATGGAACGAAAAAGTTAAAACGACTACAATACGGGTAAATACGTTTGTTATTGTATATTTAGGAAAATGATGTCCTACAGATACAAACTTAGAATAAATCCGTAGTTAATCAACTGTCAGTCGGTATTACCCATAGAATACAAATAAAATAGAAGTATGACAATCGTATTTTAAACAGGTACATTAATATTTCAAAGTTTTGTTAATTCAGCAATTAATTATACAAAAAAAACCGATAAGGTGATTTAATATCAATAAATTCTAGAAGAAATATTTGTTAACATACATCATCCATAGATACTGGATAATCGTGTACCTATCAATAAATTATGTTATGCTTTGTATTATTATTTTTTTAAATATTAAAAAAAAAACATTGTGCACTATTATTTTTGCAGATAGTATTTTCTATCAGACAGTAATATCATACACCATCCAACGAGAAGGAAAAAGAGGAAATAATTATTGGAATCGCCAGCTGTTTTAACCAATTATTTGAGAAAATGTAAAAAATTATTTTAAAAAAATGTCAAATGTCTACGGCAAAAATTCGAAGACATAATAACATGTCCACTCTGAAGGTAAAATTGTATTTTAATATTTAACAAATATTATACCCGTGGGTCTGAAACGGTCATGTCAGTTGGTGTTTTCATTACGCGTTTGTTGTGTATATCCTTATAATAATAAAACGTTACTGGTAGGCTATTCGTTTCTTCCAGGCTGCGTCCGGCGGCTGTTCATTTTTTCTACGGCCAGATATACGGTGTCATAGCCGCCGCGGATTTCGTCTGGGCCATTGATAACGGCGCACCGCATGCGGCGGTCGTGTTGTTTATCTCCGAACGGATAAACGTGAAATGTGTCTTAAATATTAACGGAAAAAGTATTTTTTTATGGTCAGTGTTTGCGGTTGGGTTTTGGAGTTGAAAAAGTAACGTTCTGTAGGTATGTATACATTACGTTTTTAATATTTCATCGTCGTCTCAATTTCTATTGAACTTATGACGCAGTCGTGTCTTAAAAAAATTAATATAACAAACGATTGATAAACACCGCCATGGCATGTGATAGTAGCGGTATATTATTTTTTCGTTGTTTGTATATTTTTCCGTTGTATATATTTGTAATTACCTACCTACTTATTTTCTATGTATGTGCATAAACTGTTTTAGGCTGTTCCCAATGGGTATACCTACTCTGCGACACTTTCGTTTACCGGTAAGCATTAATATTCTATCTATCTACTCTGTATTTGAATATGACAAATACTACAATTACTAATTATTATTATTATTATTATACTTTTAAAGGCGTTGTGGAAGTTCTGGCGTCTCATGAAGTCCACAATTGATTTTCCTGCGGCCATCGAAAAATCTCTGCGGTTAAGGTCAGGCATCTCTTCTTAAATCCATTTAATTTACCCCTGTATTTGTGTATAATAATATTTGCACAATGATTAGATACTTTGTTAATGAGTAAAACATTATACATTTGTTTTATAATTTAAATAACACCTGGGGCTAATTTTGTGTGCTTAAAAATTATATACATTAGTTGACATAAAGTATTGCCTTCAGACATATTATTTTAGCGTTCAACATTCTGTGTTGTTAGACCGTTTTTTAAAGGAGTTTATTGTATAAGTTCTTTTTTTTAGTTGCTGTTGGTGTAGATATAACTTAATAATACACTTAATCTTAATAATAATAATAATATTGTCAAATCATTTTTATTGGAACTAATTTTTCATTTAATAGGTGATTAATATTATAATATCTGAGGCACATTAACATTTCATTTACTATTTCATTATTTATAGAAATATTCACTTCACCCTAAACAATTTGCTATTGCTATTTTTTTTTTATTGATAATACATAATGAAAAATAAAATTATTTTAACATTCAATTATTAGTAAGATTAATTTTTGGTTAGCCATCTAAAAATATGTCTCTGTAAAGTATCAAATAATACAGGTGTTTGATGCACTGAATATTATTATTATTATGTAACTGTCCATATCTAAACACTTAAAAGTTAATATAAGGGTGTGTCTTAATTTTAGTCAGTTATTGTTGTAGTATAGAGTAGAATTTAAGTAAATAGATTAAGCAAAACAAATTATATGTTCAAATAATGAAATATTATGTACTGTATAACAATAATGCCAATTCGGCAAATCATTCAAATGACCCACATTAACTTAATGTAAAATAAGCAAAACAATATTAACTATTTTTGACTATAAAAGGTGAATGTAAAACAAGCCAAAGGCGTCTCTCCGCTTAGCATTAACTAGGTGGAGAACTTATTGTATCGACTGTTGTTTTGTGCCATTATACTTTATTTCTATAGTATATTTTCGACTTGCGTATTTATTTATTAACGTTACCTTAAGTGTCTCATTTTTAAGAGTTAAAGTTTACCTTTTAAATAACGTGTGCTAGGACAACCTTTTTAGTGATCAAAATTGCAAATAGTCTTTATTCTTTAAAGTTCTATACTTACGGAAATAGGCATTAATCTTGCACTAGGTATAATTGAATATAGTCCCTAATTACGATTAAACCCGTATTAGACGTCTGGTTGATTACTACTTAGTGTGGGTTAGTCGTCTGGCTGAAGTATAGTTCCGGAAGGTTTAAACGGCTGGGCATTGGCTTTGATCAACTTAAAAGGATCCTAGTATAACATCTTTAAAAGGTATCACGTTGTGCGTATCGAGTTAATACTGTATACGACATTGTTGTAGGCAATTAAACTGAATTTACAAATAATTAACACCAATTTAAATAATTAAATTAAACTCTTATATTTATTAATTAATTAAATATGGTAGTGCTCTAACGTAACTAATATCGATAAATTAATATCACTTTCATTTCAATGGTTAGGTTAGGTTATTAATTGATCAGAGTTTTTGTTTCAGTAGTTATTCATTTTGATGTTGATTAACGGATAGTTTGCTTCCTAATGTTACCACTTGATTTTTCTACGTTGGATTCACCAATTTGAGAAGACTGTCAATCGGTGATACCGATACAAGCCAAATATTTTGACCGTTGGAAACGACCAGTATTGGTATGTCTAATTACATTCTTATACATAAATAACATATACTAACTATATTCGCATATATTTAAATTTTTACAGTGTCTGTTGATTTCCATGCCTGCCGAAAAATAATAAGAATGTCAAATTGGATGCAAGATCACTTTGTTGATGTTACAAACTCATTTAGCAAATAATAAAACTAATAACTTATTTACATTTTTAACTGCCAATTTTTTAAATAATTGTATGTATGATTGTTGATGTAAAATATTTCAAGATGCATTTTCAATATTTTTTGTACTGTAATTCGAATATTACACTTTGGTTAGATTAGATTAACTTATAATTTGTGCTATTCATTCTATTATAACTAATTTAGGTACATTTCATTTGTTTTTTACTATTGAGTTCACAGGATACACAAACATATAATTTTTCTACAATTTTGGACTTCTGACAAACCAGCAGACCTCTTTAGTATACCGCGTGTACCTTTCATGATTAAATTCTAATTCTAATCTAAACGTACAATACCAAATACTGACATAGATATGATTTCTCAACAGATTACGATTCTAATGACCAATATCTAGACATATTATATAGTATAGGTACTACACTTAAACAAGTATTGTTTCGCAAAACACCATACCACACATTTAGCCGACTGACCTCTAAACATTTCTTTCTGTTTTATACCATTGCTTACCAAGCCCGTAAAGTAAGCAACACCACATACTTGATTTTCAACATATCATTCAAATAAAAAAAAAATTGATATTACATAATGAAAAATAAAATAAAATTGAAATTTTTAATTATGATCATTTAGTAGGATGAACTATTGGTTAGCCATCTAAAAAAATATCAATTTATAGATTTAAATATATGGATTAAAAAATATGAATGTATATTAATTTATCTATTACATAGAAAATATGTCACTGGATAAGTATAAAATAACATAGGTATTTGATTTGATGCACTGAATATTTTTATTATTATATTATGTAACTCACCAGATCTAAAAACTTAAAAGGTTTGCATCGAGACATTTTATTTAACCTCTCTTTGGACGTTTTTATAAGCACTGTCATCAAATAGTCAATAAAAAATCCAAATAATGTTTTTATCACTCTTCACTTCTTTCCCTTTTAAGTTTTATTATATACAGATTGACCTCTAGACATTTCATTCATGTTTTTTACTCTTGAGTTCTTAAACACTTGAACTTCTGTTAAACCACCAGACCTTTAATATACATATTTAATGCATTATGCTGATATTTACATTCTAAACGTACAGTACGTCATTATCGGGTAATGGCATAGACGGTGATTTCTGAACAAATAAGGATTTTAATTCAACCAATATCAAGACATAACGTACTACGTTTGATACATTTTTGTTATAGGTATCTACAATACACCAGACATTCGATATTTTAGCCTATCGGCTTCTAGACATTACGTTCTCTTTTAAACCATCGCTTACTAAACCTTTAAGTAATGATAATAATATTTTGTATTATCATCATAGCAGCAGTTATCAACCTACTTGTACCATGGTTTTTGATTGTTGTAGTTAAATAGCCATTCATTAGCCGCTGTCAATATAGGTCTGTCAACCTACCTGTCATGACGGTGTGTTAGAAAAGTCGGTAATCTATAATTAATATGAATCGCTGGTCAACCAAAATATCACAAAACATTTTATTGTGTTTGGTTATCTGTGTACTCATCTTTCGCACAATGTGATCATAAATAAGTATTTTATTGGCTCCCGGTCTTTGGAAAACCAAAGAAATATATTAATATTTAAGAAAAAATGTAATATCTGTACAAAGTCATAGCTAACGACTAAATGGATAAAAATTAATAATTCAAACTTTAAAATATTTTGCCTACAAATTTATGGAATTAAAAACATATGTTGCCATTTGAAAACGTGAACTTAGACCCTTTTTATCGTATAAGGAATGAAAATAAAAATGTTCAAAGCATTGAAAAATGTAGTAAAACTTATACCTAAAAGAATAGGAAAAAATGTTTTTTCAAAATATTCATATTTTCCGAGAAAATGAGTTTCACTCTGTATATTCTGTAACAGGTATAAAATATGAAAACCTACATTTTCATACGAACAATGATTAAATTTAATAGTTGTATGGTTGCAATAAATACGATAAATATTCTATTAAAGTTCAAAGTTGTATACTTGTATTATGATTTTTTCTTAAGAGGGCGTCTGTTTCAATATTATAATAGGTGCTGTTACTCTAAAACCAAAATTAATCGAGATATTTTCAGTCTGCTTAAACATGTAGAGATGAAAAAACATTTTTAAATCGCTTTCAAGGATGCTGTAATAGTCCAAAAAATAAATTAACTACCAAAATAGAGTCTTAGTTATTGAACTAATAGTTACACATCACAGTTTAACCTTTAAATTAAAATTTTGTGAAAAATTGCCTATACTTTACTCCTTAAAAATAGGCGTTGCGATACCTTCTTAAGATTTAAATGGTTGCTCAAAACTTATTAAAATTCATTAACTTAAACGCGGCTGCTAGAAGTTTTGACATTGTATTAGGTTGAATAATTTATCTAAGTATTCCCCAAATATAAGCAAAACTGTTATAAATGGAAAATAAAATTTGATTTTTTTTTTAACTGTATAATCGTTTGCTTTATTTTTTGGTTATAGGTATCGAAGCACCTCAGATAAACGAAGGTAACCACTAATCACAGTTTTACATGCATATTAAAGAGGTATAGCTTGGTTAATTATGAACAAGTTCAACCAAAAGGGGGCAAGTTTTTGTTTTAGAATTTCTGTAAGACTAGTCTCATTGCTACGCTCAAAAAATAGAAATAAAAAAACAATTTTCAGGGTGAGGTTTTATTATATATTTTAGGCTAATCATAACGTATAATGGTTATTCAACTATATCACGCTACTAGCAACAAGATATTTTTAAACTTGTTTTTATTATTTTGTTTTTAAGCCGATTTTAATGACACTAATCTGACAAATTTGAGATGAAAAAGAAGACTATCAACTCTCCCAGCTATAAAAAAATTAATCCGTACTGTAATAAGTAAATATGCATATCAAATTTGTTTATCATTTTATATATAATTTTCTGTATACATTAATCAATTAATAATAATACAACTATGGAGCGTTAACAACGTGGATACTGGATTTTTCTTAAAATACACTTAATTCAAAGATGCATTACACAGTAACATAAGGATGAGACTTTATCTTTTAATATCGAATGAGCTAAATTTAATTTTTTTGTATTTTTTAGGTGAAAAAGATCCAGATTTTGCAATTTATCTCAACATGTGTCGTTTAATAGGGTTATTCAGAGCAATTGAAAATCCAACTTCTGGTACCGATGGTGTAAAATGTTGTACATCGGCTATAAACCGCATATACTTCAAATACAGATACTTTGATAGAAATTTAAAAAACTAACGACGATAGTAAAATTTAATTTTTTACTGCTTTTATATCGAGTTAAAAATAGTTGTTCTAATTTGGAACAATAAAGTCACTAATCTTTTAACGTATAAGAGATAAAGTTAAGAATTTTCACAGTATTGAAATAAATAGTAAAATATGAACCAAAAAGAATACGAAATCACGGTTTTTCAGAATATTAATATTTTCCTAGAAATAAAGTGACTTGTTATTATTGTAGACAGACGATCAACTTTGTACTTACCAAAGTACAAAAATAGAATATTATGCACATTCTTCAAAAAGGTTTTTTTTTAGAATAATTATCACACATTTATTTATAAAAATCATTGTTTCTGAACCGATGATTTCCCCGGCCGTAGGATATTACTAAAATAAACTTGAGTGTCACTGGGCTTCTATCATACCAATAGATTATTTCAAATCACCATTGACAATGATTAATATTTTTTTTTGGGGATTTCAAAATTGTAATAGATTTGTTATGTACAGCCTCAACCGAGCGTTGGCTTTCTTATAAGTCTGAAGATAGGTCTAACATATTATACCTACAACAAGTGTAAAATACACTTCGGAACTTTTAACGGTAAAAAGTAGAACATATGTTATTTTAAAAAAACCATTCTATATATTTATATATGCTGGCAAATACTACTAATATAGGTAACATGTGTATTAAAAACGGCTTGTTTATAACGTAACTGTTATTACATTTGTATCACCGCACCATTTCAGTGTAAAACAACATAATTCTCCGAACCGTTTTTGCTAATTTTTCCTGTTTCGAAGGATTTCTTACAGCTAATACAATATGTATGAACTGTATTTTACGGTTTTTGTGTTGATGATCGTTGTGTTGATTGGAACAATGAGCCAATCAGGACCACATAAAGTCATTTGGAATTTGACGATGGACAGCCGCCATTTACACTGCAGTGTAGATATGATTTCCTACCCTGGTTTTGGCACGGTGTTGCCCGAAGTCAAAAACCTTGACAGAACTTCACTTATTGAATTTGGAAAACCAAATTTGCCGATCCTGCAGGTCGACACACAGGTAATAAACTTCTCATAGAAATTTAAATATTTTTCGCTTAAAAGTTTCTCCGAAATCTATTAAAATATAAAATACCTCTCTCAAAAAGTTATATAAGATGAACAAGTCAATTGGAATTTGACGATGGACAGCCGCCATTTACACTGCAGTGTAGATATGATTTCCTACCCGGGTTTTGGCATGGTGTTGCCCGAAGTCAAAAACCTTGACAGAACTTCACTTATTGAATTTGGAAAACCAATATTGCCGATCCTGCAGGTCGACACACAGGTAATAAACTTCTCATAGAAATTTACATATTATTTTGTTTTTAACAGTTATATACCTACCCCACCGACCAGAACTTGTAAGTTTAAAACTAATTGTTGAATTTAACTCTATCGCTGTATTCTTTAAATGTATTTAACAGGTTGTTGGAACGACCTTTCTGACTGGCATCCGAGAAATGGGCAAAGGCCTATTCGCAAAGGTGTGTTACGGAGTTGTGGTCAGTGCAGTAGCTATTGTGCTGATTTTTGCTAGTATTGTCATACTGGTACTCTTACTCACGGCTATTGCACCTTTGCTACTTGTATTGACTTTTTATGCACTGTTCCTGAAACTTCTGACTATCATGGTATTTCTGCCGATGTTTCTAGTATGGATAATCGTCAGTGTCATTGTAA